CTCCCTCCATCCTTAAAATCTTTAAAAAATAAATAAATAAAAAGGTTTGAGTGTAGTGTCAAAGAATATCTACAATTATTTGAAAAGGCTATTCAAAAACTCCTCCCTTCAATTATTAGAGTCATCTAAACTGGCAGGGCAGAGAAAGCCCTCCTCCGTTTTCCAAAACGTGTATCTGGATTTTGTTCACATACTTCAACCAAAATAACATATTAACCATCTGATTGCAGAAGAAGATCTACAAACCCAATGGTCTTTATTAAGTCAGATACTAATCAGATGTCCTAAAATGTAAGAAAAACACCACCTGTCACTAAATTGAGTATTTTTAATAAAATCATGTTATTACTAATAAACTTATTATTTTAAGCAATACTTTTTAAATTTTGTATTAATTTTTAGTACAGTAAATACCAGTAGCTATAACCCACATAATTAAAAGCTCTTTGGAGACTTAAAAGCATAAAGGAATCCTGAGACCTGAAACTCTGAGAACTGTTATCCTAGGCTATTGCTATAGCCTGACTCCAGTTCCACATCTTACAATCTACTCTACTACATCCAGCTTAAACTCACTCTTAGTATCCGACTTAGCTAATTAGAGCTTTAAGATATAATTTTTATTTCTCCACTGAAAATTTGAGTTTTTTCCACACTACACTGAATTAAGTACAAACTCTTCAATAAGGTAAATGATTATCAGTATTTATTAAATTCTCAGTTGTCAGTGCAATGGGACAAAACCTCTGATCAGTGCGTATTATGTGACATGAAGTATATCAGTGAAATGAAAAGATAATGGAACCACAAAGTATCAAATTTTATTGTATCAATTCAGCTACAAGCCTCTATACCTTCTTCCATAAAAACAGATGTTGCTTTATTTACCCAATGGTCTATCCCCTTTCAAACAAAGCCTTGATTTTTCCTATGCCAGAGAATGAGAGGCTACCACAGAAAGAAAAAGAGGAACTAAAGAAAATGAATCAAGGACTCTTATCTTTTCAGCTTCCCAATTTAAGGGTTTTTCAAGGACAATTTTAACAAAATGCAACGTATCAGCTGACTTTACAAGCATATACCAGACAATATAATGGTATGATTTTACTGAAATATTGGGAATATTTTCTCTAGAGCAGTGGTCTCAATTAGAGGCAATTTTGCCTCCCAACAGACATATGACAATGTCTGGAGACATCTGGACTGTTACAACTTGGGGAGAAGGAATTATGGGTATCTAATGGGTAGAGGCCAGGAATGCTGCTAAACATCCTACAACACAGAAGACAGTGCCTCTACAACAAGGAATTATCTGGCTCAAAATGTCAATAGTGCCAAGGCTGAGAAACCTTGCTCTGCAGACATACTATGTCAAGTACAGCAGATCCTTGACTAATGTCATTTTCAACATCACTTTGTTATAATGTTGATGAGATGCTGTAAGAACTTAAATCTTGTTTATATCAATTAGCCTATGGTCAAACTGATTCATTATACGTAGTGTCCCAACAGTTCCAAGAACCTGTCAATAACAGTGAGTGAGGGCTTACAGTACTTAGGTTTAATTCCAAACACAAAGAATACATCAAAATCTCAAAAGATGCTGCTTATATACCTTGACTCTAATACCTGTTATTTGATCTGATTTTCTTAGTCCTCTAACCTTTCAACAAATTCCATAATTAAAAATGTGCTTTTTAGCCCTAGCTGGTGTAGCTCAGTGGATTGAGTGCGGGCCTGTGAAGCAAGGGGTTGCCGGTTCAATTCCCAGTCAGGGCATATGCCTGGGTTGCGGACCATGTCCCCAGTGGGGAACACAGGAGAGGCAACCACATGCTGATGTTTCTCTCCCACTCTTTCTCCTTCCTATCCACCTCTCTCTAAAAATAAATAAATAAAAAATTTTAATTAAAAATGTACTCTTTAGCCCCAGCTAGTGTGGCTCAATGGATTGAGCACTAGTCTGTGAACCAAAGGATCGCTGGTTCGATTCCCAGTCGAGGCACATGCCTGGGTTGTGGGGCATGTGAAAGGCAACCAAACTTTGATGTTTCCCTCCCTTCTCTTCTGTCTAAAAATAAACAAACAACATATTGGGAAAAGTGTGCTCTTTATTGGAAATGAAAGTGTTACTATCCCTTACTTCCTAGTTTAACTGCCACCATAAAAATAGTATCACAATATAATAAAACTGATTTTTTCCCTTAGCTGTCAATTTGGTTTCCTGAATGTTCTACTATCCAGGAGCTAGTGGACAAAAATAAAGTCTGCTACCAAAGTAATATATGAATGGTGTGGTGTGGTTCCTCTTATCTGGGCCTCCTATTTTAGGAGCACACAAATAGCCAGCCTCTTTAAACTATTTTTAGGTTTAACTCTTTCGTATTTGTTTATTCATTAAAGAAACACACTTACTCAGAGCCTACTATGTGCCAAACAACCTGAATACAAAATCAAAAGTATCGTATCATCGACTAATAAAAAGACAAACAGCTAAAACACAAAATGATTTATGCTATTTATAGCACAAAAGGCAAGGAGGGGGGAGGCCAGGAAAGACTTTCCAGAAGAGGGCGATGCTTGAACTGAGAAAACGTCACAGAATATATACTCTATTCACATCTTAGTATTTAGACTACTGATCTCTACTGCTCTTGTACACTACTATTTTTCACTTTTGCTCCGTCATCTAAACAAGAGCAAAGTGAAGTTATGATTGATGGAAACAAAACAAAGTGGCGACTAACTCACTTTCAGCAAATCTTAATGAAGAGTCAAAATATAACTCTATCAATGTATTTCCTGCTCCCTCCATCCTGTTCAACTTCTACTTTTGTCTTTTAAATATTCTAAATTTTTCCACCAAGTAAACATACCATCTGTCACCTACTTAAAAGAATTTCTTTCTTAATTTTTAAGACTGTCACAGAAAATGCTCACTGGTCTTTTCTTTCTTTGTTACTTTCTTTTCCCAAAACAAAATTTAATTTTCTCACCATCTTCTACTTAAAAACTTTGAATGCTGTACAAGAGAGAAGCTATGAATTCCGAGATAAAATAACGGCAAAATCTGCTACCTGCCTTTCTAAGTCTCACCTATACTTTCTTTTTTTTAAAACAATTTTTAAAAATATTTTATTTATTTATTTTTAGAGAGGGGGGGAAGGGAAGGAGAAAGAGTGGGAGAGAAACATCAATGTGTGGTTACCTCTCATGTGTCCCCTACTGGGGACCTGGCCTGCAACCCAGGCATGTGCCCTGACTGGGAACTGAACCGTCGACCCTTTGCTTCACAGGCCCATGCTCAATCCACGGAGCTACACCAGCCAGGACTCACCTGTACTTTCTGATTTCTATTCCAATATTGCTGTGGGTCACTAACTGAATATTTCTTCCGAGTCCCCAGGAGAATAAAAATTTTAGATTTGGAAGAAGAAACTAGCCAGTAACTTGTGGGTTTACCGTTTCATTTTCCAATACATAACATTACTGACATTCTTTAACAATTTTTAGGTTTAGTTCTCATGGTCTAGGTTAGGGTACCACTAATTAAGTGTCTGCATAATGGTGAGTAGAGTTGCTAACAACTAAGTGAGAATGCTATTGAAGATTTTACCTGCTTTTCACTACCCAATGCCCCGGCACCCCCACTCCCACCCCAAACAAAATCCTCAATAATGGAAGGCTAGAACATACAGAAAGAATGATGCAGTAGACAAACTTCTAGACTGAGTCAGGTCTGGCACTGGCTGATAATGTCCCTTCTCTAGGCCTCAATTTCTTGACTTTTGAAACTTGCACATGATCTAGGGTAAACTGACTTCATACTCAAGTTCTTACCTATATAGTAATCCGGAAACCCCATCTTTCTCAATTAGCTTTACATGGGAGACCAGAAATTAATCTTTTACTCCACTAAAGCTACCTTAATTTCCAATGTTTCAACTCCCGATCCACCCACCCTAACCCTGGAGTTGTGAATTTCCCCAGTAGGCAAATAAAGCCCATTCCCTTGACAAGAGAGTCAAGGAAGCGCTGGAAGAACACATTCAGGGTTTTGAGGCGCTACCACCGCAAACGGGGCCGGCCCACCTAGTCACCGCTGGGCAAATGAATTAAGTACAACTGGACAGATGGACGCTCCCTCACCGTAGGCTGAGATGAGAGGCCCGGGGCCCAGACCCCTCGGATAGCCATTCTCTCCCAGTTCTCGAAGACCGGGCTCCTGGGTCGCAGGGTCGCAGGGTCGCGGGGCCGCCCCCACGCTCAGGGCAAAGGTGCGCGCGGGGCGCGAGACTTCAGCCCGGAGAGGGCCCGGGAAGCCCCGCACACCGCCCGCCCAAAGGGGAGGAGGAGGAGCCTGCTGCCCCGAGCCGCCGCCACCCCGGCTTCCGACTTACCGCGGTGCGGTGGGGGAGGGGAAGTGTCAGGAGTAAGGGCCTAGGCCCGTTCACCACCCGCCGCTCTGAGAGCAGCGCGCGGTCCCCACGAAACCGTCGCCACAGTCAACACCACCGATACCGACCGCCGCTACGGGAGCAACGCGCAAAGGACCGGTCTGCGTCACACGCCGTCCGCCGTCAGAGGCTCGCTCCGAACGCTCCGCCCCTGCCGCTTGTGCATTGATAGCTGACGACGCCACTCTAGGCCCACCTTATTACTCATTGGGCAACGAGTCTTTTGAAACTGAACGTGAGGGCGGTCTTCGGAAGAAGGGGAGAGGAGGAAGAGGAGGGACATGGGGAGTTAGGGGAGGGAAGGGGAGGGGTGTTGGGAGGGACATGGAGTCCCGCCTCTCGCCGCTGCGGTTGGCTGCGAGAGAGTTGTGACGTCACACAGGCCCCCTCGAAGTGGGCTGGTAAGTGGCTACACTGGGCGGGGTGTGGGAGAAGCGTGGTGACGTAATACAGAAGCTCCGCCCTCTTCCTTGGAGAGGAGAGACCCCAGCTGCTGCAGCTCGGGCCAATTAGAGGGAAGGCTCCTGGATGGCATGGTAACTGTTCTACCCTCACCTTGGCCAGTCCGTGGGAGGTGAAGGGGAAGGCACCCCCTTGGTCCTTCCTCCCTTCACTTCCTGGCCAGACCAAGTACGGAGCTCGGGGCCCTCCTGGGAAGTCCGACTGTTCGTGTAGCTTGCGTGCAGCTGCTGGGAGGCCTGAAAACCTGGCCTTCTTGTATCCTGACCCATGCCAGACCGGGCACAACCTTTCCCTCTCTTAATCCCTAGAATAGACATTATGGCCTCAGAGATGCCCTAAGGGAATAGTTCAGCATAGGACTTCTTTCTCACCAGTCGTTAAGTTATTCTTAAAACCCTGGTTCAGATGTTCCCGCCTTCTCTAGGATACATTTGCTGATTTCTTGGCAAGTTGGGTTTAATGCTCGGGCAGGCCTCTGTCATTTTGTATCCTATTACTTTTCCTGTCTTCTGTGCCTGGGCTATTGGAGGTCAGAGCTGTGTTTTCTTCATCAAGAAGAAAAAACTTCGTTAAACAAAATTCAACCGAGTAAATCTAAACATTTAATTGGCTTTATTAAGCGATTCATGAATTGGGCAGCATCCCATCTAGCAACTGTAAAGGCACTCTGAAGGTTTGTACAAAATGGAAGGATTTTTACAGAAGGAAGGGTGGGCAAGGGAACTATTAGCAAAAGAAAGCATTATTTTGGGGCCTGGACATCTTCTTTAGGGTAAGAGAAGAGGAAGGGTTTTTATTATGTAATTACATCTGTCTATGGAGGATGGAGAGGACCTATGTAACAGATTACCTTACTGGTGCTTGACCAGAAAGTTTCATACTGGTTGATTAAGATTATGTTTCTGGGAGAGGTATTAAATATAGTTTGGTATCATGGGCTTTTGGAATGAGTGATGACATTTTGGGCCTGTGCTTTTTTCTTTAACATTGGTGTCCTTTCCCTCAGGCCTAGCTTGGAGCAGAAGCCTGACATTACAAAGGAAGGGTTGAACATGGTTTAGAAACTAGACCTAGTGACTGAGAGTCCCACACAAAATAGCAGGGAACTGTGCTCAGAAAGCCTATTAGGATTACCACTCCACCACCACCACCTCCTGGGACATCAATGCAAAATCGAAATGGGCTCTGCCCAAAGGTAGGTGAATTTTAATTCCCGTAGGTTTTTAGTGGTAGCAAGGGATTAGAGGTAGATGACTGATTAATTCGTCAAAAAGTGGGGTGTCAGAAAGATTAATAAGGTAATGGTTAGGAGAAACCATGTACATTGTAGGTACTCAGTAAATGTTTGAAGGAAGAAAAAATGAATATATAGAGGGTGAAATAGCAAAGCTAGTTTAAACAGCTGACACCAGCCACCTTTCCCCAACTCCCCCAACCAAACATCCCTTCTTTTCCTCCCCCTCCCTTACCTGTTTTGTGCATCAGAAAGACATTAGTTCTCCCTGGACAGTTACAGTAGCTTTATCACTCCCTCCCGAAACATTGACTTTCACAGTATAGGTGTGCACGTTAAATATTAGACATGTGAAGGAGTAAATTATTTTCTTAAGTAGAAAAGTAGAAATGTGGGGCATTTGAGTCAGAATCCTGGATTTAAATCTGACTTCAGCTATATAGTAGCTGTATGAACTTGGGCACATTTCTTAACCCCTCTGAGCCTCAGTTTCCTTGTCTGTAAAAGGGAGTTAATGGTACTTGCCTCACAACGATGTTGTGAGAATTGAGCGTAACTAATATGCAATAATGCATCAGTGTATGACAGATATTATTTATATAGTCTTTTTAAATGTCAAGAAATTCCCATTCTAAATGTTCTGACATGATTCTTATAAAAGAGGCTCAGAGGCCCTGGCCTGGTACTCGGTTGGAGTGTCTTCCCGGTAAGCCAAGCTTGCAGGATCCATCTCCAGTGAGGGCATGGATGAGTGGAACAACAAGTTGATGTCTTTCTCTTTCTCCATTCCTCTCTTTCTCTCTGAAAATCAACAGACAGTTGTTTTAAAGAGGGGGAAGAGGGAGAGAGAAACATCGATGTGAGATAAAAACATTGATTGGTTGTGAGACCTGTGCTGAATCTGCAGCCTAGCCACATGCCACGATTGGGAATCAATGGTTTATGGGACAATGCTCCAATCAATTGAGCCACACCAGCCAAGGCAAAAAAAAATTTTTTTTTTAAATTTTTTTAAGGAAAGGGGCTAGCTCTGAGCAGTGTGGCTTAGTGAATTGGGCATTATCTTGCAAAGTGAAAGGTCACTGGTTGATTCCTGGTCAGGACACATGCCTGAGTTGCAGACCAGGTCCCCCATTGGGGATGTGTACAAGAGGCAACCAATCAATGTTTCTCTCTCACATTGATGTTTCCCTCCCTTCTCTCTCTAAAAATAAATAAAATCTTTTTTAAAAGAAAGGAAAGGTCCTCAGAAATATGTCTCAAGTGAGGAAGTGAGTACCTTCAGCCCTAAGTACTAGTGGGTATGCAAGATCTGGGATCTTTAAATAGTTCATACTTGTGGGAAGACTGGAGGGTAAGACATTGGATGAGGAGTGCTCTAGAGAGGAGTTCCCTGTGACCATGGTGATTTCTAAGCAAAAGGACTCTTGTTAGGTACTCTGTAGGCATGTGGCCCACAAGCTTATCATTCTCAGGGACTTCTGCCAAGGGAAGGATTTCTTTGTGGGCCAGGGCTTCCTGGGCCCACATACTCTTATTCTGCCTAGTTCTCTTAATACCCCCTCCATTATCATCTTTTTCCTTCTTTTACCTCTAAAGACACAGAATTTGGCGCATGTCCACAAAAGCTTGCTGAGCCAAGCACTGTATTGGCATCAGGAGCCCAGAGATGTCCACAGCTCAACACTGCCCTGGCTAAGAGAAAGCTAAGAAGAAAGAGTCCAGCTCTGTCATGGGAGCCTCCAGTCTCTAAAACACATTATGCCACTATCATTGGTGCTTAGGAAGTAGCCAGACCTGTAAGGACTACAGAATCAGAGGAGGGCAAGAGACTTGCTTTCAGAGGCATGATTCTAGACGTCTTATATGGTGCATTGAAAAGAGCAGCTAAGATCTGGGGCCAGATCTGTTTGTTTGTTTGTTTTTTATCCTCACCTGAGGACATGCTTATTGATTTTAGAAGAAAAGGGAGGGACCAAGACAGGGAGAGAGAAACATCGGTGTAAGAGAAACAGTGTGAGAGAGAAACATTGATTGCTTGCCTCTCCAATATGTCGACTAGGAACTGAACCTGCAGTCTAGGCACGTGTTCTGACTGGGTATCGAGCCCACAACCTTTCGGTACCCAGGACAACACTCCAAGCAACTGAGCCACACCAGCCAGGGTGCCAGCTCTGCTACTTTTTAGACCTTGCACAAGCCATTTAGTTGTGCCATGCCCCAGTTTTCTTGTCTATTAAACAGGCACAATAATTCCTACTTTGTAAGGTGGTTGTGAACGTCAAGTAAGATGATGGAATTTGCAAGGGACTGGACAGGGCATGTTTGTCACTTTAGAAGCACTAAGCAAATGTTGATTTCCTTCCACATTTCCTATAACTTGATAGTGAAGAGTGATGCTAATAATTAGCATATAATTAGGTTTTTAGGCAGAACACTTAGTTTATTGTATTTAATGAATTACCTGGTATGTTCAGGATTTTATCTAATATTTCATACTTTCTACTTGTCCTTCCTATTCTGTTTCTGTCTGTCCTTTAATCTTTTTTTTGGTAGTAATAAATGCCATTTATTGAGGCACAGATCTTTGACAGATTTTTTTTTTTTTAATTTGAGATGAAACCCTGGCTGGCGTGGCTTAGTGGATTGATTGGCAGCCTGCAAGTGGTCGCTGGCATGGGGCATCTACCTGGGTTGCAGGCCAAGTGCCCAGTTGGGGACATGTGAAAGGCAACCACACATTGATCTTTCTCTCCCTCTCTCATTACCCCTCTTCCTCGCTCTATAAAAATAAATAAATAAAATCTTTAAAATAATTTGAGGTATAATATACATGGGAAATTATATTACATAATTCACATATAAGAGTAATTTCACATATAATTCATATATACTTCAAATGCACCCATTTAAAGTGTACAATTCAGAGGTTTTTGGTATATTCCTAAGGTTGTACAACCATCACCACTAATTCCAGAACATTTGTATAATCCCAAATAGAAACTCTAGACCCATGTGCTGGCCTGGTATTACCTGTGATTAAAGCATCTCCCCAATACACCAAGGTTGTGGGTTTGATCCCATCAGAAAATGTATTATACAAGAATCAAGCAATCAATGCATAAATAGGTGGAACAACAAATTGATGTTTCTCTCTCTCTCTCTGAAATTCAATAAAAAAAAGAAAAACCCAAGACCTATTATCAGTCATTCCGCATCTCTCCCTCTCCCAGTCCCTGACAACTACTAATCTACTTTATCTCAATGAACTTGCCTGTTCTGAACATTTCATGTAAACGAGTTTATATAATATGTGGCCTTTGTGTCTGGCTTCTTTTACTTAATGTTTTCAAGGTTTATCCTTGTTGTATTATGGATCAGTGCTTCATTTCTTTTCATGGTCAAATAATATTCTATTTTATGCATATATCATATTTTATTATACATTCATGAGTTGAATGACATTTGAGTTGTTCCCACCTTGCAGCTGCTATGAATATTTTGTGGACCCAAGTTTCCAATTCCATTGTGTTCATGCTTTTATATCTCGAAGTAGATTCTCGAAGTAGATTGTGGGGGTCATATGGTAACTAAGTTTAGCTTTTTGAGCAACTGTTATAAAGTGACTGTATCCTTTTACATTCCCACTAGCATTATATGAGGGTTCCAACTTCTCTACATCATTGCCAACACCTGTTATTTTCCTTTTTATTTATTTATTTTTTAATATTTTATTTATTTATCTTTAGAGGGGAAGGGAAGGAGAGAGGGAGAGAAACATCAATGTATGGTTGCCTTTCGTGCATCCCCTGCTGGGAACTGGCCTGCAGGGAACTGGTCTGCAACCCAGGTATGTGCCCTGACTGGGAATCGAACCGAGATTGTCTGGTTCTCAGGCCCGCACTCAATCCACTGAGCTACACCAGCCAGGTCCTCCTTTTTAAAAAAATTATAGCCATCCTAGGTGGTATGAAATGTCATCTCATTATCATTTTCATGTACATTTCTCTAATGAATAATGATGTCGACCATCTTTTCATGTGCTTGCTGGCCATTTAAATCTCCTTTCTTCCATTCTTCTGGGTTGTTTTGTTTTTCCTTCTGTGCCAATTTAGAAATTAAAGTATTTTTCTATTATTTTATTGATCTCCATAGAAATTACCACATGCATTTCTAATTTACTGAAGTATCATGCTGATCACTACCTTTACAGGAAGAGTAGAGTTTGCTGAGATGGAGGAAAAGAAGCATTCCAAGCCAGATGAACAGGGAAAATAAAGATGTGGGACCAGGAAAGAGCTCAAGACAGGGAACAAGGGCCAGAAGCAGGCATCTGTGGGTTGGAGCTAAACAAAGAGGATGGCACGAAGCCCCAAGGTAGAAAACCTAAATCCAGTTTTTGAAACTAAATGGAGGTGGTTCTTTTAGTAAAGTTTTATTAATTGTTCACTTGCCCTGGGACCTTAAAGGACAGGGTGGGAAGATTTCAAAGTCAAGAAAAGTAGTTTTTAGAATAAGACTTTGAGCCCTCAAGAGTGGGGCCAGGTCGGGACTGGGTCCCCCACCATTGCCCAGCCCAGGGCCTGCCACACAGAGTGCCTAGAGTGAGTGAGTGAACAAGACCGAATGTATGAAATAAGCTCTGGCAAGTTAATGAACACTGGAGCTTCTGTTTCCCCATCCGCAAAGTGGTGACCTTGTGGGATTAGGAGTATATAGTGATTAAGGGACCTCAGGTGCCAGGCTGAAATCCTGTTCTGACATTCACTAGCTATGTGAGTGGGTAACTTGCCTTCTGTTTTCCATTGGTAAAATGGGGACATTAATAGTATCTACCTCATAGAGGTTTTTTGTGAGGATGAAATGGGATAATATAAAAAGAAGAAAAGTTCCTGGGACACAGAGTGTTCAAAATGAGCTGATTATTACTGTGGGGGTTTAAATAGGGGAAGATGTCATGATGGTGACTAGCGCAGAAGTCCTGCAACCCCTGCAGGTGCTCTGATAAAGAGGCACTGTGCCTGCAGGAAGGATTACTGGTCCCTTCATCCTGTTTCCCTGTTGGGGTAGGATGATCTTTGCAAAGGCAGTCAAGAGTCTCCCTTAGGTTCCTTAATGGGTCAGTCAGGGTGAGAAGGGAACCTTGGGGGCCGGTTTCTGGTGATCAACTCTTAATAAGGAGAGAGCCCCGGCTGGGAGCTGGAGATCCTCTCTCTGCTCTGTCGGACAGGACAGGGCGCCCTCTCCTGATCAAAGGCGGGAACAGCTCTGGCCCACAGTTTCCGGGGTGGACCTCACTGGATCTCAATACCTGTAAGGCGCTTCTCTCCTGAAATTCTCCAAATCAGCTCTGGGTAACAAAGTTTAGAAAAAGATCGCCAAGGCTGGGGCGAAACTGGTTTAATATTTTAGAGGGGTGAAGCTGGATAACTCGGCTAGAATGGGGGCCAGGGAAGACTGGGCTCAGGAAATGAGAATTTGGGGCCTTGTTGAATTAATTTTATGTTCTTTCAACAGGTGATGGTTCGCAGTGGAGAGGTAAGGTGACAAGGTGGCTTATCCAACAGGTCAAACCCGGTGAACAGATCTTTTCCGGCTGTCCCCACGCAGCCAGAATTAGTGGGACAAATGAGGGCTAGAGAGGGACGGCATGCAGGGACGCCAGATGAATGGGGAGAGCCCAGGGCCTGGGTCTGCAGAAGTGGGGAGTAGCCAGCAGAAGATCTGGGCGCAGTTTCCTCCAGTAGTTCCGCCCCAAGGGCTCCGATCCCGCCCTCCGCCCTCACTATTCTCCACCTTCCTCCCTCCCTGCCGCGGACCCCCCCCCCCCTCCCCGGGCTACCCTCCCAGTTCCCAGCCCCCTTCACCCGCCCAGCGCCCCGTCCCCTCCCACCTGGCCTGCACGCAGACGCGGTCTTATCACAACCACAGCTTGGGTGAGTATGGGGATGGGTGTGCTGGACCGCTGGGCAACCCCTCTTGGGGAGCTCTGCCACGTGGTGCAGCGTAGCAGGGCTGCGTCCCTAACTCTGAGAGTCCTGGTGCTTATCCAGGAGCTGCTGCTGTCCTGTGTTCGTGAGCTGATCCGTTTCCCGCTGCTCTCCTACATGGGGCTGGGTGTGCAGAGGCTGAGCACTCCGTTCTTAACTCCACAGGGACTCCTGGTCTGTATTTCCTCCTTAGGTGACTGGAAATGCTGGTGTGGGCGGGCCTTGGAATAGGATAGAATAGTTTCAAATCCCAGCTTGTCAGTTATTAGCATGTGACCTTGAGCAAATGTTTTTAACCTTCCTGAGCCTCAGTTTCCTATTCTGTAAAATGGAAATATACAGGCCTCGAAGAATGACTGTATTTTGCTGTGTATAATGTGCACTTTTTTGCCCAAATTTTTTAGGAAAAAATAAGGATGCACATTAAACATGGGTAGTACTAATTCCGTATCTATATAAATGTTTTTAATTTTTATTTATGTGTATGCACTAGGAGTGTAACTCTAAAAAGCAATAATGATATCCATATATGAAATAATACCCTGGAATATATCATTGATTTCATTTTTTAATATAAATAAATAAGTAAATTTAAAAATTAAAATGAAATTTTTTTTTCCTGAAAGTTGGGGCCAAAAGCCCGGGTGTGCAGTATACACCAGAGCATGTTATAACAGCAAAATTCAATATAGTGAGGATTAAAAGAAACTATCTATATTTAGTTTCTAGATTCAGAAGGCACCTAGTAACTGTGGATTTGGACTGAAAGCTGGGAAGATCTTTAGGCACCTTTATAGAAAAGGTATGGATGCTTGTAAGAAAGCAGCTTTCAACTAAGTAGTACCTATAAGGAAGTTAGAGCTGATTGGGGCTGAACAGCTGCCCTTCAGGTAGTGAGCTCCCTGTTCTGAGGCCTGGAGAAATTGGAATGACCAAGTTGGAATGGCCTTATCTAAAACACATGTTCCCCATGTTAAATGGCTGCGGAAATAGGCCCAGAGGGGTTAGGTGATTTGCCCAAGGTCACACAGCAAAAAGGGAGGCCAGGCCTATCTCCAAGTGGAACAGTCTGTTCCCTGAACCTACCTGATCATCCCCCTGCCTTGGGCAGTGTCTGTTTATTCCTTGAGGATCTGGTGTTTAGTTTCCAGACCCCAGTGATTCCTGAGGGATCTACCACTGCTGGCTTCAGGGAAGGATTTTGGGAGAAGGGTCTAATACTACTACAACCACAGAATTTGGGTTTGTTCTGGATGGGGACGGTGTTCCCCTTCAAGGGCCTTAAGGGTCTCAGTCCTTTTGAGGATGGTCCAAGGAATGTGTTTGTTTGGGGAAGCTCACTGTAGCCACCTCCCTGGGGAGACCCTGAGCCCCTAAAGGGAGAAAGGAGCTTGAGCAACTGGGGTAGACTGTCTGACAGGGCCTGGCAAAGGTGGGGGGTGGGGGAGATGGATGAGAATGTGGAGGCATATTTTCCTGGCCTGATCCAGAATGCCAGGAGGCCAGCCACATGGAAGTCAAGTTCTTCCATAGGGTGGGACTAGAAGAGAGAGCCCCGAGGCCAGGGCCCAGAAGAGTTGGGACTTTATCTGGTGAGTCCATGGAGTGTAGAGGGGTGAGCTCTTTATGTATCTGGAAGCAGCTCTAGTTTGGCAACATGAAGCCTAAATTCTGAAGATGGCTTCCCCTCAGGATGAGCATATGGCTTTGAGGAAGGGCCTTCTCTCTGTGTCTTGGTTTCTCTGTCTTTACTATGAGGACAGGGATGACTGACTCACCATATAGGATTTGTTTTTTTATCTTTCTTCCTCCTACAGACAGGCACTTGCTTTTACTCCCCTTCTAATCTGACCTAAATTGACTTTTCTGCAGTTGCAGTTTGTGACCCTGTGACCCTGAGCGGGTTTCTGTCCCTCTCTTGGTCTCAACTTCTCCTTCTATATACTAAGTGGGAGCTGGGGTAGGATTGCTGGTTTATATTCAGCCATTATAGTTCCTGCCCTTAGGTACCCTCATCCGAGCAGGGAGTCACACTTCTCAGGAGGCCTTCCCTACTCTCCAGAGGGAGTGGACAGGCCCCTGGCCACTGGGAAGCCTCCAGAAGCTGACTAGGCAGCTTTCTCCAGTAAACAGCAAGCTCAGGCCAGCATCAGGCCTGATTCTGCAAAGCCTTTCACCCTCAGAGCATGTGAGGCAGCAGGCGAGGACAAGCCAGGAGTCGAGGTTCTCTTGGTTTCCATGGAATCCATGCTGCTGTGGATTCTGGTGCAGACACTCAGAGCCCAAGAAGGGACTAAGGGTGCAGAGGGACTATGGACTAGTGGGGAAAGCAGTAGGAGCTGATGGAAGGCCCTGAATCCTAAAGGCTTAAGGACTTAGGGGAGAGGTGGACTGTTCTGTCTACAAGGAGGCTTTAGGATTGGTTCCTAAAATAAGAGATTAGTTAGACCAGCCAGCTCCTGTACTCCTAGGCCTGTCAATCCAGGCATAGGGGTGAGGAGGTCTCCCAGTCTACTCAAGCTTCATTGCAGCACAGCTTTGGTTCATTGCCTTTCCTCTGAAATCGAGGGTGAATGTTCTCACAGGATTCGAGTCAGTCTTCCTCGTCCAAGGGCAGCGGCTGTCCAAGCTTTGGGGCTAGATGGCTTCCTTCTTGGACTCGCTAACCCATGGCTCAGTCTCAGGACTGAGCACAAGGGCCCACTTCCCCACTGAGTCCCAGCCTTGCTGCCTTGGGCCCTCACAGCATGCCACTCCATCCCCAGGTCTGACAAGATGTACCAGGTCCCACTGCCACTGGACCGGGATGGGACCCTGGTCCGACTCCGCTTCACCATGGTGGCCCTGATCACTGTCTGCTGTCCACTTGTCGCCTTCTTCTTCTGCATCCTCTGGTCCCTGCTCTTCCACTTTGAGGAGACTACGGCTACACACTGTGGGGTAGGGATTGAGGGTCAATGATACCTCATATTCAGACTCGAAGGGATCTATTTTGGAATCTGATTCTATTGTAACAAGATTAGCAGTGGGGTCCATCAAACATACTGGGCTGCTGGGGGCATGCCTACAAATTGAAGTCACGATGATTAGTCTCCCTCTACTTTCCACAGAGGTTACTAGGGGCAGGGGTCACTGAATTTGGGCAGCCCTGGAACCCAGAACACAATCCTTCATAGAGGGGAAGATTCAGGAGACATGGGGTTTTTGGGGGGGATGGAGAGAGAACAGGGCTGGGCTAAGATGGCATTTGGAGCTTGTTAGTGTGGTGCTGTGGGCTTATGCCTGCCTGCATGGAAATGTGATTATGTGTGTGTGTAACTATCTGTAAGGGACCTGACTATAATGGCTTTGAGTGGGGTATGTATTAATGTATGAGAGAGACTGTATTTGTGCCCATCTGGATGGGGATCTGATTATGAGTGTGTGTTCTGGGGTAGGTCCCATGCCCTCTGAGGTTCCACAGATGGCCATGTACCCCCCAGACAGTGGTATGGGGTGCTGGGCCAGGAAGAAAGATGGGAGTGTTCTTTGTCTGTAGGCTGTTGGGGTAAAGGAGGTGAGACCTGCATTGACCTCTGTTATGCTCCTAGTTTATCCACTGATTCTATATTACCCGAGACACCAATAGTGGGCCTCAATTCCCCCATTTCTAAAATGGGATTCATAATTCCTGTCTTCCTTCTCCTCAGGGGTAGTGTAGAGCTCCAGGGAGAGGATAGGAAAGTGGTTTTGGAAATGTGAAGGATGAGGAGCAGAAGGAAGAGGAGGAAAAGGAAATTGTCAGGTTGGCAGACAGAGCAGGAGAGGAATTTACCTACATGCTCAGGCAGAAAAGCAGAAGAGCCTGGATATGGACTTTTGCATTAGCCTCAAAGAGAGCTCTGAAGGCCCCCCATCAGCTGAGCTTCCCCTCTGCCTATACAGAGCACTTGCTCCAGAAAAAGGGTTGTGACTAGCAGTCGAGTCTGGCTGGGAGTCTGGTACTTCTTTTGTTCATAGGACTTGAAGTTTTCCCTTTTGATTTGTCAGTGGGGAACCATGGGCCTTGAGCTGTGCACAGCCAGTCTGATGAAATCCAGGCTGGGAGCAATCAGAAAGAACAGAACTGGAAGAAAGAGGGTGACCAGGCAAACTAAGGAAGAGGATTAGAAAGGATGTATGATCTAGTTTTCACCTTAGATAATACATAAAATATTTCTACTCTCCTGGCCAACTCCTGTTCACTCTGCAACACTCTGCTGATGTGTCTCCTCCTCCAAAAAGCCTTCTTCAGCTTCCTGGGGGCAAATTTAATCATTCCCTCCCCTAGGTACCCGCAGTGCCCTGCGTCCTCTCACATGGTTTTGTCTCCTTATGTTTGTGTGTCTTCCCCACCAGATTAAGAGGCCCTTGAAGGTGAGCACTACGCCAGAATCAGACTTTTTGAATAAGGGAATAGGAGCCCCCAGCCCAGTTCTCTGGGAAATGGAAGGCATGGTATACTGCAGCCATAGTCTATACAAAAAATCATAATATTTGTACAGCATATGGAGTTAAATGTAGGCTGTTTGCTGTGCCCATTATGGCTGGCTCTGAGGGCTAATGGGATCCATAACCTCAGCACATCTGGCATATCTGTGACCCATTCTGGTAATACTGGTTATGGAGCTAAGGCATAGATAGTTGTAGGAGGGGTATCTGGCTCCTCTGGGCGGGACTAGACCTAGTGACCCTGGGGGTATTTTGTTTCCACTCCCTGGGACTACCATATTGGATCCACCTGGGGATTTTTGTATCTGCTCTGATTTTTTCGCCCTGAGTTTCCCAGGAGTGGTCAGCCCTAGGAATAAAAGAAGTAACCTCAGATTAGCACATCTGTAATTAGATGACTTTACCTTGGCTTGCACATTTGCAGTGACAGGGAGTTTTCTTCCTCCCCAGGTAGGCTATTCCAAAGAGGCTTAGTAGTTAGCATTTAGCAAGCTCTTTGTTATAGTGAGCATATACCCCTCTTCCGGTGAATCTCTGCCTTGGGCACTTTAGGGCTACTCTTTCCTCCTGGTTTCTAGCCAGCCCTGCAGATGTCGGGCTCCCTGAGTCTACTCTTAGGCAGCACACATCTACTTTCTTCAGGCAATTCTCACCCTAGGGCATATGCCCCTAGCCTGGGCCTAGTTGGTCACTGTTCTCTCCATGCTAGGCCCTGATCTGGGCATGAGACTTCATATGGCTTGGGCAGTATAGGCAAAAGCAGGACTGTTCTATTCCTATTATTGGCTGTTACGCCTCTGTTAATGCAGCCTGAGCTGCCATTGGCTGTTCCTGTACAGGTCCAGGCTGGACACTGATAGCTCAGATTCAGGCCTGTCTAGATCTCTTGGATCATGACTTATTTGTCCTAAGATTAACTAGCTCTCCAGTGGGTCCCAACAAATATACCCAGTCCTGCTCCAACAAAAAGGGGCAAAATCCTATTCTGTTTTCAGTGTTTCCCTTTTTAGAAATCTGCCTGTATCCGTAGACAGGACTCTCAAAAAGGTCCCCACCCCCATCTCTAACAAGGAAGCTATTGTGGGCTGACCTTAGCCACTATCATTTCTTACCTTTGCATAGTGTTCCAGAATTTATGACATGGCCTTTTGGTCCTAGGAAGGCTGTGTGCCTGGGCAAGCGTGGAGATCTGGGCACTCTGTGGGCGGGAGGGCAGGCCTTGGGGAGCTGGGGGTGGGACCCTCTAGTCTTAGAGCAATTTCAGTCCGGCTAGAGTCCTCGACCCAAGCTCCGGATCCTTCAGCACCCAGTGTGAGTGTTGCTCATTTTGCTTCCCTGTCCCTTGTCCTATTCCCTGATGCTGAGCTGAACTAGTGGACTAGGGTTCCCTTAATGGAGGGAGGTATGAGTCCCAAGGGGAGATTTGGTCCTTGGCCTTTAAATACAAAGTAATCTTTTTCTGACCCCCCAGAAGGGAGCCCAGCTTGAGGGGTCATAGTGGTCAGGACAGTAGGGGGTGGAAAGGGAGTTCTTTGCCTAGAGGGAGAAGGGAGCAGAAGCAGCCCAGCTCCTTGGGTCTGGGTCTGTCTGGCCTGGTTCTGGCCCAGCACAGCAGGCTCCAGCTGAGTGGAGAAGGTTACCATGATCTTCAAATTCCTGTAAACCTTGGATTGGGTGAGATGGTCTTCTCGGAGAGAAAGGAGATACAGGCGTGGGCCTCAGAGGGACCCTAGTGTCTTGGGATCAGGGTATAGTGCTGGCCTGAGGCTTGGATCATTCTGAGCCTGGGGGTGTGATGGCTGGCAGTCTTTGGTCCCATTGAAGCATGTTCTGGGGGCATACCCACTGTTCCTTGTTGAACTTGGGTAAAGAGCAGGAATGTGGTCAGACAGGGTCAGTGGGAGGGCTTGGACCAGTCTAAGCTAAGGTCCTTTGTCTAGGTCCTTTGACCTGAAGAAAACCTTGATTGGAGCCTTAAGCTGTTAGGTGTCAAGAAGCCTTAGTCCCAGTGATTGATCCTGGCATAGTTCTGAACCTCATTCTCCCCTTCTTGGAATGGGAATAATAATGCTTCCAGCTCTGACCCTTCTCCTGAGTGGGTATGAGGACAGTGAGAACGAGGTGGGCCAGCAGAGTTTTCATGTCCAGGTCACTAGGAACCTCTCTTCTCCAGACTCTTCAAGAGGTGGCCATACAGGACCAGTGTGCCAAGGGGATTCCTACGAGCTGATCCTGCCTATCTCTGCTGCGCTTGCCCCATCTCTCTCTGCATCTCCTTTTCTTCTGCATTATTTTCCCTTATGGTATTTCTACTCTTTCTTCTCTTTCTACTCTGGCTCTTTTCTGTACCCTGAGTAACCATCTCTGGAAAAGGCCCCACTTTTCCAGGCCCAGGCGTCCCGCCAGGACCTAAGTTGTGTCCCTCGCCCTGCCTAGGCACCACTTCCTACAGGATGTTCTCTGCAGCCTTCCAGCCCTTGGACCCTGATGGGACTGTCTTCCGGCTTCGCTTCACGGCCATGCTCTGGTGGGTCATCACTTTCCCTGTGTTCGGCTTCTTCTTCTGCATCATCTGGTCCCTGGTGTTCCACTTTGAGTACACGGTGGCTACTGACTGTGGGGTGAGTGCCAGGCTCCCCAGCACCTGGGTCAGGGCCAGGTCCAAAAATGGCGATAAGGGCAAAATCAGTGAGTAGGAGAGAAGGTGGAGGGTCAGAGAGAGGGGAAAAGGGATAAAAAGATGGTGGGAGCAAATCAGAGTTAGGGGGAATTTGTGGGAGAGACTCAGAGAGTTCAGTTATAGTCCTCCAAGAGTAGAAGAGGATTATAGGGAGTGCAAGGGAGCAGAGGGGAGAGGGGGAACAGAAGGAAGTGGGAATAGGTCAGAGAGATCATGAGGTGGAGAAGGGGGCTAAAGAAAGACTAGACCGGAAGGGAAGCCAGGCCTGAGGAGATAAGATGAGGCCAGGAGTTAGAAGTAACAGATAGCTCTAGCCCAGACTGGGAGCCTGACCTGAGAGTACCCCATCCCTGCTCTGGAATCTTCTAGCTTGGTTTCTCTCTCTGGCCGCCCTGTGTTCATTCAGGGCTCTGCCAGCTACAAACCTAGGTGGATTTTCTGCCTCTAAGAGCGGTCCACCAGGCCTTTGCTGAGGACCCAGGTTCTGTGTCAGGGACGTCGAAGTGAACATGGACTTGCTCTTAGCATCTCACTCATGCAAGAAATTGTCCTATACACAGACAGTCACTACACAGTAAGACAGGACTGCTGTTGTGATACAGGGAGGGCAGGGGTGGCAGGCCCAGAGGAAGCACATAACCCAGCTTGGACATTGGGGAAGACTTCCTGGGGGAAAGAGCATTGTCGATATGAAGAAGAATCTTTGTGAATGCCAGGCCGACCACTTTGATTTTATCCAAACAGCAATCAAAGCTTTGGAAAGATTTTAAGCAGGAAAGGGACATGATCACATCTGTGGTTTAAAAAACCAATCTGCCTCCTGAAAGGAGGGTAGAGGACAAGAGTAGGGAGACCAGTGAGGAGGCTAGGATAATAATAGTTCGTGCTACCTGGGAGACCAAGATGGGGACCGTAAGGAGAAATGGGAGGGTGTGGAGTCTAAAGAATAGCAAGTGGAATTGACAGGAGTGGGAGTTTTTGTCCCGTTGGTGAAGGGCAGGGAACAGTAAGTTAAATAAGAAAGTCATTCATAATTTCAGGGAACTTTTATTTGAGGCCAAAGGAGGGAATCTCTCTTTCATGGTGATATCTGAGGTGCTATGACAGGGAATTTTTGGAGCCCCCTCCTTCTATGCCATGTGAATTTCTGATCTGCTGCCCTGCCACAGATCCACTGAGCCATGTCCTCCAGGCCAGGGAATTTCTCCTTTTGGGGAAAGAGGTTATGTTCCTGTCTCTCAGTACCCTTAGCTCTGGGCTCATGGTGAGGTTTGAGGTGAAGTGTGTACCTGGTTTCTGATAGCACCTAATGTTGCTTGTTGCTGGGATAGTTTGTGAGTGGGGAACTTGTGTGCTTGGAATGGGGTGTGCATTTGAGTGTCTGTTCCTGAGTGTGTGTGTGTGTGTGTGTGTGTGTGTATGATGAGAGAGGTAATCTTTGCTCTTAGAACTCTGCCCTCACCCCTAAACTAGGACGGAGCTTGTTAGAACAGGACTGGCAGCCACGGGGCCCTAATTTTCTCTTCCTCCTGAGGCATCCCCCCAACTCTTTGCCATCTCTATTCTTCACCTGTTTCCCAGCATTGATCAGGGATCTGGGCCCTTCAATGCTCTGGGCTCTCCCATCTAAGTCTTAGAGGCTGGTCCTGTTCCCCCCTAAACAGCTGAGATTGTGGCAAGAGTTTTCAGAACTAATAATCTACGAAGAGGACGCACTACTCCCACTAACCCTACTCAAAGGACCTACTCAGAGAGGCAGGAGAGTCAAGTACGGAGACTTAGAGGTCTCAGAAACGTCTGGTGAAGATATGATTCCCACCCCTCACTCATATGTAAGCCATCCCATGTTCAGTAGCCACATAGTTGCTCACCACCTATGTGTAGGCTTTTCAGGGAAGTTTCTCTTCTGAAGGCCATCCCTCGTACCCATTGTGTGCCAGATACTGCAGTTGCTTTGCACACAATATATTTAGTATTCACAGTCACCCTGCCAGGTAGGTAGTAGTATCCCTGTTTTATCAAAGGGGAAATGGAAGCTCAGACAGGTGAAGTGGCTTGCTCAGTTACCTCACTAATAAAGGCAGAGCTGGGATGCAGACCCACATTTATGTGTCTCTAAAGCCTCTGTGATGCTTCTTCACTGAATATTCAGAGTGAATACCTGAGCCTGTTCTCGAGCTATGGTATCTCAAGCCATGGCCTTAACAGCAGTATCCTCTCTCTTCGTTTTGCACTTAGTTTCCTCTGACAGTGCTGGTGGGAATCCATCTCCTTTTCTGTGAAGGTTATGAAGCCCCTGTCTGGTGCTTCTCCAGACCCACCCCTGCTCTGTGAGGTGCCTCCATCATTTCTTACCTACTTATTATTCACTTTGAGACCCATTCAACGTCCCCATTGGGAAAAAGGAAGGGATCTTGTAGAACTGCATCTCTGAAGACTGGTCCCACCATAATCACACAGGCCGTTCCTCTGTGGGCTCAGGCACTGCTCTGGCCCTTGTTGAAAGTCTAAAAAAGTTCATGAAAAGTGTAGACAACACACTGGAAGCTTCCACAGTCCTGGAATCTTTTAGAAATACGGATTCTCAGGTTCCAGACCTTCAGCACTCTCACACAGTCCCCAGTGAGTTGTATGCATATTAAAGTTGGAGAAGCAGCTCCAGTCCCTGCAGTCTAACAGATCCTCCTCCTGGCTTTCTTGCCACCATCAAAACTAATGTTGACTCAGCCCCTATCCTCTTACCCTCCATACAAGCAACACAGCAATTCTTGCCATTGTTTATTATGTCCTCCTTCTTCCTCAACTTGAAAGAATGACCTCCAATTCCTTAAGGAATGAGGAAACCAATCTTTGAGAAAGATGGATGAGAGATGTACAAGAACAGGGTGACTGCCACAGGTTAGGAGCACCCACCCTTCTGGCTCAGCTCCCCCTGTGTCTCACAGTGCGCTCTACCACTTTGGCACACCTGCCCAGGAAAACAAGTGGTGCTGGGAGCAGTCAAAGGAGCAGCCCAGTTGGGCAGTGAATCTAGCAATGCTCCGAGCAAGCTCAGAGGCTGTCTGAATCATCCCTCTATGGGACCGAATAGGGGGTCCGGGGCTCATGGAACCTCTCGCATGGCTTTCTGCTGCTGTCTTCCAGAGTCTCTGAACCTGTCTACAGCTTTCCCAGCCATGTGTAGGTTCCATGTGTAGGGAAATGGAGAAGGTCACATATGTCCCTGCACAAATGCCAGTCTGGTTGGGGAATGAGAACCAAGAACACTGGGGAGCCAGGACCTGTGAGGGGAGGTCTCCAAGGAGAGCTTTGGGGGTGCCTGAAGGAGGCCTTCCTAGAAGGGAAGGGGACGGGCACAACCTTATGAGGGTCAGGTTGATTAGATGGAGAGAAGGATATCCCGGTGGGTGGGCCTGGCAAGGGCCAGTGTCCAGAAGGGTCACAATTCTCTAGGTGCCCAATTACCTGCCTTCGGTGAGCTCAGCCATCGGTGGGGAGGTGCCCCAGCGCTATGTGTGGCGCTTCTGCATCGGCCTGCACTCTGCACCCCGCTTCTTGGTGGCCTTCGCCTACTGGAACCACTACCTCAGCTGCACCTCCTCGTGTCCTAGCTACCGACTGCTTTGCTGCCTCAACTTCAGCCTCAACGTCATCGAGAACCTCGCACTGCTAGTGCTCACCTATGTCTCCTCTTCCGAGGACTTCAGTGGGTGCCCAGAGGAGGGAAGGAGAGTGGGGAAGGGTTCGGGGAGGAGGTGCCCCTGCCCTTTGCTCACAGGGCTTGGGTGCTTCCTGCAATGTGCACTCCCAACCCTCCTCTCTCCCTCCAGCTGTCCACGAAAATGCTTTCATTGTATTCATTGCCACATCCCTCAGTCACATGCTCCTCACCTGCATTATCTGGCGGCTGACCAAGAAGCACACAGTAAGTCAGGAGGTAGGTCTACCCTAGGGTAGACCTGGGGTTCCAGGTGGCCCAGAGAAGAATCAAGAACTGTTCTCTGGATGCAGTTAACGGTGAGGTGGGAACTGGAGTTACTGGAACCTTGGCTGAGGCTGGGACTTGGGGAGGGTGCTTGATTGGTCAGAATCTAGGACTGTGGGTAGTATGGGAGACTGGAGAATAGAGGAGATGGAGGCTCCAAGTGGAGGTAGAATGAGGGGCAGCACCAGGCTGCAGCGGGTTGGGAAGACATGTCAGGATCTGTGACCTGTGGTCTCTAATCACCCCAATTGGCCTCTGTGGCCACACATACACCTTTTTTTTCTCCCCACAGTATCTGGAGGTGTTGGGTTGGTTGGCTGACTCCAAGTAACTTTCATATTCCTTACCCCTGAAGCGGGAGGGGCAGGGACACTGCTGCTCCTTGGCCCCATTATACTCTAAATGCAGGGATGTGAACATGTGCATCGTTCCTGTCACCCCCGCCTGTGCCCCTTTTTGTGACTAAGGGAGGGGAGACTAGCCCTTAGGAGTTAGGGCTAAGAGGGGAGGCTACCGAAACATATCCAATAAACTGCAGAGTGATCACACAGCCCATCCTATAGGATCACAAGTCCTACAGCTGGAAACAGCGGCTCTTCATCATCAACTTCGTCTCCTTCTTCTCGGCGCTGTTTGTCTACTTTCGGCACAACATGTATTGTGAGACTGGAGGTGAGGCCAGGCTAGAACGTGTACATGGTCACAGTGACTATGGGACAGTTGTGAACTTTTCTAGAAATGTGCAGTATCGTGATGTGTTCCCTGTGTAGTGATGTAGTGCTGCTGCTTTCTCAAGAGGCCCCAGGGTGGGAGGAAGGTGGGGGCAGGAGACTCACCATATCCTTCTTTGTGTCCTCACAACAGTGTACACCATCTTTGCCATCCTGGAGTACACTGTTGTCCTAACCAACATGGCATTCCACATGACAGCCTGGTGGGACTTCGGGAACAAGGAGCTTCTCATTACCTCCCAGCCTGAGGAAAAGCGATTCTAAACCCTCTTCTCCTGCTTGGGCGGGGGTCGGGGGCACTGCCCAGAAACTAGAAATGAAATACCACTCTGGCCTTTCCCACCTCCTGTGTCCTCTCTGGGCCCTACTGAAGCTGGGAAAGGGGAGAAGGAAGAGGCATAGGACATGGATTTACCCAGCCCTACAGCACCTCCTTCTTCCCAACCCATGTGAAGGCACAGGAACCTCTAAGTAGCACCACCCTTACCCAAGAGGCCCCAAGAAACTGAGCTGGCAGGAGAGCTCCACCATCTGGTGCTAAAAAAAGTCCTGAGGTTCATAACCACCATCCGGTTCTTGGCCTTAACATAGCTGCCTCTCTTTGAGGTCAGGGACCACTGAGCAGTGGCTGCCACCTGAAAACCACAGTCATTCTCTTCACGTGGCTGTTCACTTGATCAATATGTCTAATAACCTACTCTGCACATCCAGGCTCACGGCCACAGTTCCCTGCTAAGGTTGCCCAGATGGTCTAGTCCTGACTTCATTTCTGATGATGCGGGGTGGGCAGGTGTGATTTCCAAGGGCTCTGCCAGTGTGTGCTTCTGGCACCACCTTGTGGAGGTGGTGGTCTGCACCTGAAAGCTGAGCTGCTCCAGAGAACACACTGGCACAGCACACACTTCTCTTTCCTTATGGAAATCTGACTGACAGACTGACTCTTCCTTGGCAAAAGTGTAGGGTGGAGTCAGAGGCACAGATTCCTATCCCCCAAGTAGTGCCCCCTCACCAACCTCTGTACTATCCCAGGCCCTGAACTCTTTTGATTGTACATTCTATTTTAAAGGAAAATAATAAAAAAAAAAATTTTTGGCTAACGGTCTGGGCTAGGCTTGCTCGTCTTGGGGCTCGTCTGTTTAATGAACTGAGGTGAGAGACAAGCTCCAGGTTGGAGAGAATAAGTCCACAAGTCCATGGCAGGTTATGATTCCACACGGTACCCCACTATCTCTGTAGGCTGGAGTCTCCTACGGATGGTCCAAGCCCCAATTTTGGTAAGCAGAAGTGACTCCAGGCCTGGAACCTGAGATACTTGGGAGTCCTGGGTGGAGGCAAAGCCCGGAGTTCTGGCCCCAACTGACAGTAAAGCTCTTTCCTTTGGGGGTATAAGGGTACAGTTCAGAGGCATGACCACTGACAGCACCTGCCTGCAGGCTGATGGTTCTTAACCTTCCCCTGAGCCCCAGATCAGGAAGTCTTTTCCTCATGCTTTGCATCCCAGTCCACTGCAGAATCTGTGGCTGAGCCCCAGAGCAAAACTGGCCCCTCCAAGAGAGCCCGGAGCTTTGTTAGGGAAATTGGGGGGTAGAGGAGACCACAATGAAGCCTACTGTCTCCTGTCTCCTCTTGCAGTAAACAAAAGGCTCCCAGTCTCTGGGGAGCCCTAACCCATGCCTGTCTCCTGCCCAGCCCCCAATGTCCAGCACACAGGGAGGAGTCGGGGCCACTGGAGACAGGAGGTTTTATTGATGCTGATGGGGGTAGGAGCCTGGGTGGAGGGGCTGAGTCAGTCAGCAATGCATAAGGCCTGGGCACATGGGGGTAAGTTAGGGAACATTCATCTTCTCAGGATTTTGTGGCTCCATTGGGGAAGGGAGAGAGTATCTTGAGGGGGGAGCAATTTGAAGAGCAGCAAGGGAGAGGTTAAGGATGGCTGAGAGCTCCTAACCTGAGAGAAGGCACCACAATAGATAGGCAGCAACATCTGTGTGAAAAGCTGCAGGGGACAGGGCACTGAGTTGGCTTCTTGGGGAGGGGTCCAACCTTGGCCTGGGTGAGCTCTCAAGAATACCTGGTGTTCCCAAGCAGACTGGGGCAGGACCCGAAGCCCCTTTCCCTGTGGGCCTCCTTAAGGAGAAACAGGCATTCAGGGAGCCCCCTGGCAAGGGGTGCCAGAATTAGTCCTCAAGGCACAGCTGGGGGCAGACAAGGCGCCAAGGCACAACTGGTGGGGGGGCAGGGGCAGCCTGCAAGCTAAGTGCCAGGGTCACAAGAGGACGCAGGACCGCCCACGCTTGATCGGTGTGGGGTTGAGCACAGCCCGGACAGCCTCAGCAAACACTTCCTTGACGCCGTCCTGCTGCAGGGCTGAGCACTCGAGGTAGCGCACAGCATGGATCTGCTTGGCCAGTGCCTGGCCCTGCTGCGGTGTGATGGGTGCTTGGCCCTGCTCCTTGAGGCGCCGCAGGGTGTCAGGCTGGGCTCTCAGGTCCTTCTTGGTGCCCACCAGGAGAATGGGCACATCTGGGCAGTGGTGGCACACCTCTGGATGCCACTTGTGCCGCACATTCTCATAGGAGGGTGGACTGGCAATGGAGAAACAGATGACAAAGACGTTGGTCTGAGGGTAGGAGAGTGTGCGGAGGCGGTCGTACTCCTCCTGGCCCGCTGTGTCCCACAGGTTCAGGTTCACTGTGCGCCCATCAACTGCACTCTGGGCGCTGTAATTGTCGAACACTGTGGGGATGTATTCCTTGGGGAAGGCGTTAGTAGTGTAGCAGATGAGCAGGCATGTCTTGCCTACAGCCCCATCGCCCACCACCACACACTTGATGCTTTGCATCGTGAGTGCAGCTGCTGCAGCGGAGGCACTGCCTCCTTCCCTTTCTGGGACCCTCTGGATGTAATGACCTAGGAACAGAGGAGAGGGACACTTGTGGTTAGGGAGGCCTCTACCCACTGGGAAGAAAGAACGTGGGCATATAGAGAGGAATGCCACTTCTCTTAACCTGACACTATCTTGCAATACCATCAAGACAGACCTTAGAGAGACACATACACAATGGAAGAAATCAAGCAAAGATGCTTGGGTGTACGGAGGCTGGCACTGTAATGTGTAAATATGCAAAGCACATAAATTCTGGTACCAGACCAAAAAACGTCAAATCCAGTTCTGCTATTTCCTAGCTGTGTGGCCCTGGACAAATTACTTCTTTAGTGATTAGTGGGCCTCAGTTTTCTTATGTGTAAAGTGGGAATAAAATAATACCTACCTTAGTAACCCTCATTGGGTTACTAAGAGGAGTATATAAGGCAGGGGTGTCCAACCTGTGGTCCACGGGCTGCGTGTGGCCCAACACAAAATCATAAAATTACTTAAAACCTTTTTTTTGCTCATCAATCTTCATTAGTGTTTGTGTATTTAATGTGTGGCCCAGAGGCACCAAGAGGTTGGACACCCATGAATAAGGTAACACATTAAAGCATTTATAACAGTGACTATTCATAATAAACATTCAATTGGTATTAGCTACTTTTATTTTTCCTCCAGGCAGTATAGACACAAAAGGACAGTGTACAAGTGTAGGGATCTACCCACAGATCCTCTGCCAGATATGGACCCCTTCCACCCTGCAGACTGGAGAGGAGTTCTGGCGCAGGGCACTGTCCCAGGTCACTCTGAGATGCAGCCATGAGTGGAGCCTCTCCCAACTCAGGGCCAGCCCAGCCTACTGCACAGTTTAGCTGCAAACCCAACATCTTGGCTACTGAGTACAACCCAAAAGGTACAATAAGAAACCTGCTAAGTAATGAGCACAATTCTCTAGACAGCTTCCCTGTTGAAATCCAGGGTGCCCTGGGGATGGGAAAGGAGGGAGAACCCACCCCACTAGTTTTTTGTTAGCACAGTAAATCCTACTTGGCCACAAATACATAGGCTGGAAATTCAGTGCAGGGGAATATGGGAGATTAATGAGGCAAAGGGTTTGGCTCCCAGACAGCATTTTCTCTTAAGACCATTGGTGGGGCAGATCAAGCTCAGCCAAGAGGGATGAATAGAAGAGTAAAACAAAAACTTGATTTTCCCCCTTAGTCTTTGGTGCCTTTTTTGAGAGCATGGCACATGCATGTGAAGAATTTCAAGGGCTTCCAGACTCTAGGATAGAGAATACAGTGCCATTAAAGCTCTATCACTGAGAACACAGGCTGGAGTCACACTGGCCAGGTATTCTAATCACAGTTCCACCAACTAGTCATGTATGATCTTGGGCAACACATTAAGTTTCCCAGCCTCAATTTTCTCATCTGTAAAACGGGGGAAATCTTGCCTATTGTGTTAGAATCGTTCAGAGTATGAAATGAACTAATGGGTAGATTATTAGTGGAAGGGGGTGCAGGGGGAGTCCCAGCTCCGAACATCATTACCCTTGTCCCCTTTGCAGTTCACAGGGCCTCAGGGTGAGGAACTGCTCCTCTGAGTTCTGGAACAGAAGAGAACTTCCGGAAACCCTGTGATTATTTATACTGCTGTGGCAAAGGTTCTCCTCTCATTGGCTACTTCCTCTTGGCCATGAGGGACTTTTGCTGGCCACTATATGCCTTCCTTTCCCTGACACTCTCTCACAGCCAGGTCTCTGCCACCTGGGAGAGGACAGCCTGTTTCAGACACACCCAGATATCCAAGTACCCTTGCTCTACTCAAGCGCTGTCACCACTGGCCCATTTTCTTCATTTTGCTTCACAGTATATATATCGCAAGACTGCACCCTGGTCTGAAAACCCCTTAATTCTCAGCCTGGAATTCCAAACACTGGTCCAAAAGCCTCAAAAATCAAACTGGGGATGGGGAGATTCCCCCACTGAGAAACAAAAAGGAACTCTGGTGGTGTGGGACCTGCAGAGGATCCAGGGCTTGGTCCCGGCTTCCTCTGGGAGGGAAATGGTTTCATTCTATGAGGTTGCCTTTGGTTCAAGTAAAAGTATTTTCATCTCTTTTGTGGGAATAAGTGTGTTCAACCTCAGGAGAGAAGATAGCAACTCAGGAAATAAATCTGGGACAGAAATAAGGACTCTGTAGGACAGTGGAGAGAACCTCAGACTGGAAGTCAAGAGACCTAAGTTCTAACCCCAGCTCTGCTCTGCTGCTGACTCACTACAACCAAGCATGATGCACTTACCCTCCCTGGACCTCAGTTTTCCAGTCCATGAAATGGAGAGAAGGGCACTAGGTAGATGAAATTAGACATGAAGAGCCCTGGGAGCAAGGGATAGGATGATGGGGGTGAGAAAGACCTCTGGGAGCACAGGGTGGGGTCGGAGTGGGGATGAATCAGTCAGCAAATGTATAAGGCCTGCTGGGCACATGGGAGCAAGTCGGAACACACTCGTCTTGTAGCATTCTATGGCTCCTTCCTTAGGGAAAGGAGAGAACATGATGGGGGGGTTGGTGCTGTTACTCGTATTCCCTGAATTACTTGGGAGACCCTAGCATTTTGAGAGAACTCCTAGGCCTGTAAATCTTCAGTTTCACACAGAGCAGAAGCATGGGCGTGGTGTATGTCTGAGAACTCTTCTTCCACTGGCCCGGGACTGGGCTGGCCCAGGCAGGAAGGCAAGGAGGGAACTCTGAACAGCAATCACAAGGCCCAAGAGACTGGAAGTGCAGTGGCTCCAGGCTGCTCTCTGGGGAGGTGGTTATCAACCAGCAATCAGTAAATCAGCCTTCAGAGGGGTGGGGAGGGAGAGGGCAGCTTCCGGGCTGGCGAGGGAACGGGACTGACAGCAGAAAAGGATCCTGAGTGAGGCAGTGTCCATAAACAGGCAGAGCAGAGGCAGTGTGGTACAGGGCAAAGAGAAGTGGATCCCTGAATGTGGCCTCTTGGGTTCACCAGCTGACTTGCCCCCTTGACAAAAGCTCTCACAAGGCACAATCCTCTATAGATCACATGATATTGTTATTTGATCCTTATAACAATCTATTGGTACTATTCACATTTATCAGTGAGGAAATAAACTCAAGAGTTAAAGTAACCTAATACCACACAGGTAGTTAGCTTGGGAGTCAGGACACAAACTCCAGTTTTGCCATCCAAGGTCCTGTGTTTTCCTCAATGCATCATACAGCCTCCATGTTACCCCTTACTACTACTAACTTTGTGACCTTAAACAAGCAAGTCACCTCCTTTCCTGGAGCCTCAGTTTCTTCATCTATACAATAGGAAATGACAGTATTTGCATTCTCTGCCTTAAAGGGCAGCCGCAAGGATGCTGAGCATGGGAATGAACTGGACTGGACCATGCTCAGAGCAGGTGACAGGAGCAAAGCCTTTCATCCCAAGAGGCAGGAAGCACTGAGTATGCAGGCGTCTGAGCAGTGGCGTCTGAGACACCTGTCTGAGCAGGTGTCTTCCCACATGGGAAGAAGGAACAGTCAGTGCTGCAGGAGGCCAAATGGGAGTGGACTGCTCGAGGTTAGGGGTCAACTGTGACTTATTCACTAGATGACTTTTTTAAAAAACAACTTTTATTTAGTAAGTGAACTAATGGTTGCAGATCTGTATAAGTATTGGCCAAATTACAATGGCCTGCTCTGACTATCAGTTCCCAACTTAATTTAGATCTTGCCTATTCTCAGCTTGGCAGAGTTCTTCATACTCTGGTAGAGGTTTTGGAGTCAGCTAGAGCTAGGTTTAAATCCTAGTTCTGCTGCTTACTCATATGAGCTAAGCACTAAAACCAACCTCGTAATGTGTTGTAAGGATTAAGTGCATTAATGTACAATATATGTATACAATGTAGGTACTTTGCAGATGTGAGTCCCGGCTCCCTGCTCCAGAGAGGTTTTCACTGTCCTCTATAAACAAGCCAGGATGATTGTTGCCTCTGGTCTTTTACTCTTGTTCTTCCATCTGCTGCCATTCCCTCTTGCCTCTCAAATCTTCCTGACATTTCAAGCCCTAGGTTAAGCCTCAGAGCCCCATGAGGCTAATGACTTCTCCTTTCTTTGAACTTCCACAGCATGACCACCCCTTTTAACCCTCCTTTGGCTCCGTGTGATTCTCCTTCCCCAGTAGTCATAGATAAGTCTCCTAGTTTGTGGTCAATACTGGAACTTGAGCTTCCCTCAGCTCTCCTACAGAAAAGCTGAGTACAGGGTTTGCGTACACAGGAGTGTGCAGCCACTGCCTTCTGATCTACTTGCTTCTGCCCCATTATTGAGATCTGGACAGTTGCCTCAAAAAGGCAGAACTGAACTACATACTCCCACAGCCAACACTGCAATGCTGAATCTTTTTGGACAGCAACGACAGCCAAAAGCTTTGACGGGGATAGGCAAAAATCTCTCTTCCCAGTCCCAGCTTGACCTGGCTCCAGTAGGGAGAACCACCTAAGGGACCCATGGGGGCCTAACTCTGAGTGTGGTCCCTGGAGCAGTTTGTGCCCAGAAAGACTTGGTCTTGGGGTGTGGCCCAGGCAGGCCTAGAAGTGGGGAGGGAAAGGAAGCAGAGGATTGCCTGATTGCCTGATCTTTGTGGCCGTTACAGTAGGGGAAGTGTCCCAATTGGGAGTGGGGGAGGGGAGTTATGGGCCCTAAGAGATGGGGGAGTGTGGAGGCAACTTACTAGAGCCTTTTTAACCTGCCTCCCTGATGTGGGGCTCCCCCTCTACAGCCCTCTCTGAAACTCATTCTAACGTTCTAATCCATCTCTGGGGCTTCTGATCCTGAGCTCCGGCCATACTACCCTGATCCTCTACAAGCTGTCTCCACATTCTCTTCCCTGAATCACAAGCAGTTTTTCTACAAAACAGCAAGCACTGTTCCCTGTTCCTGCAGGAATCCAGCATTCTTCCCCTCTTCCATCCTCCAACCCCCACTGGGCAGCTCAGAAGGCTCCAAGCGCTTCAAAAGA